TGTTGTTATTTATAGGAGAGAGAGAGTAGGTTTTACATTAGATTTTGTTCATTTTTAACATTCAGTCCTTTTTTGCTCTGGCACACATTGAATATCTTTTTTTTTTTTTTGGAGAGGTTTTTGCTATAGGGCGTGTGCGCTCACCAGACAGAGAGAGACAGAGAGAGACAGAGAGACAGAACGTGAGAAATCACCCCCCAGGGGGGATAGCCACACCACAATCCCTTCTCCTCCGTTCTCCTCTCGGGATCTTGGGCACGCATGCACACACACCTGGCATGAGTTTTAAGCCACCGGGTCCGGGACGTGAACCGCAGTTGACTACATGGGAGTCCAGCAACATAGCCATTACGCTAACTGCTGGTCCCCCAATTTTTTTTTTTTTTTGAGAGAGATTTTTGCTATAGGATGCATGCATTCACTGGAGAGACAGAGAGACAGAAAGCAAGAAATCACCCCCTGGGGAAATGGCCACGCCACAATCCCTTCTCCAGTCTCCTCTTTGGATTTTGGGCACACATGCGCGTGTACCCAGCATGAGTTTCAAGCTGCTGGGTCTGGGACTCAAACCGTGGTCTGCCATGTGGGAGTCCAGGAATGTAACTACTACGTCATCTGCTGTTTTCCATGTTGAATAATTTTAATAGCTGTGAATTAGAGTTCAGTAGGGTTTTCTTTGTCAGTGTCTCATCTGTTAAGTCCACCTAATGTGTTTTTAAATTTAGTCTCAAATGTTTCAGACTTCATCCCTGGAAGTACAGTTATCTTCCAGGCCTCTACTTACCAAGGACAGTCTTTCTTCAACTTAATACATGTTGTGGAGTTAGAATAGCTCGTAACATCCTGGCTTATCATCTCCATTACTTTTAGTAGGTTTGGCTAGGGTAAAGTGGTCCAGTGCTGAGGGTGCTTGTTATTTCTATATTCCTTCTGTGGATAGAGCCAGGAAACGTTTTTGTTGGTAAGGCAAACTACATTGTTGTTTATACTGATTTTTCTAATTCTAATTAAGGATTCCAGGACCTTATTTTTTCCCCTTTTTTGTTATATATATTATAAAAATATATTATGCATATTAATCTCTTTTACACTGAAAGTTTGTATCCTTATGTGCCTTAAAACAATATTTTTTTGTATTTATTGACTCTAGTAACAAAATGACTAAAAACAGTTAAAGAGTCTTGTAGTTCTTTTTCTGCAATATACATCTAGTGCGTAGGATCTACTATGACATTACCTTTTTCCTGTTAATGATATATATTCAACTAAGTATCTACCATTAAATTACTGTGCTTTAAAGTCTCTTAAAAGAAATCTTATTTGTGTGGTTAAGCTACCAAATCAATACACAGTTCATTTCATCAGCCTAATTTTACTTCCATATTTTAGAATTTGCTTTTTTAGTTAATTTTGTTGTATCATTTAATAAAATAAGTACATGGATCTAGAGAAAGAGTTGGCCAGCTATACTTCATGGGCCCAGTCTGGCCTGCAACCGTTTTTATATGTTCCTTGGGCTAGGAATGGATTTCGCATTATTAACTAGCTTTGACATGTGCATGTACATACATGCATGCATACAGACACACACACACGCGCGTGCGATGTGAGGGACAGTATGCAAGAGTGACTGTAGGTGGCTCACAAAACCTAAAATATTAACTGGCTGGCTTTTTACAGAAAAATGTGTGAACCCTATCCTGGAGTCAGATCTATAGAGCAAGGTGTATTTAAAGTATTGTCTAAGTTCTGCCTTTTACCTGTCTCCTCTCTCTGTCCCCTCCTTTCCTCTAGAAGCAACCTTACTTATTTACTTATTTTAGTTTCTGGCTCTATCTTTTTTTTTGGTAAGCAAATACACCCATTTATATTTATATCTCCTTTCTTCTCTTGGGTCATCAGAAAAGTCATGATGTATTTTTCTATATAGAAATGTGTCATGATTTTTAATTTTTTTTAGAATTATTTAGTTTAATTTTATTTCTTCTTATTATTATTTTTTAATTTGTCTAGAGAGAAGGAAAGGAAGCAAGCTGCCAGGTCCTAGACTCGAACTGCAGTCGGCCATGTGGGAGTCCAGTGCCGCTAACCACCACACTACTGCCTGAACCCTTTCTTCTTCTTCTATTTTTTTCTTTGGAATTACTTTATTTCATTTTATTTATGATTATTATATTTTAATTCGTCATGACTTTTCTGATGACTCAATATTTTCTTCGCAGTTTTTTTCTCTCACTTGACATTTTTTCACTGAACAATTTGAATCCTGGAGCTCACCCATGAATAGGGAGATACTTCTCATGCTTCTCTACAGTTACATAGTATTTCGGAGTGTGGACAGACGAGTTTATTCAGCCAGGCCTTTCTTGATGAGCATTGGGTTGTTTTCCGTTTTTAATGTTATTGTTTTACTTGTACTTTATTTCTTCCATGAACTAAAGAGAGAGAGCAAGCACCCCCAACAGGGTCCTGACTCCACACTCTGCCCTAGTCTTAGCCCTGGATCGTGGGCACACATGTGCACCGGCTACTCAGGGAGGTGTCTGGGCTTGAACCGGGAGCTTTCCTGTGGAGGATTTCCTTACAGAATGTGGCATTTGACCACTGCACTACTGTCTGGCCCAGCTTTTTACATCTATCTCCACATAGTGCGGCTTTCAGTGGTACCAGTGCTTGTGTCTCTGTCAGTGGAACTCTGGGATCCGTTCCTGGAAGTGCGGGTGCTGGGTCAGGCGGCTCTCCGGCTCCCCGAGTAACAGCCCATATGGTACTCTGCTTGAAGCTGCAGAATCCTCTCCCCAGGGATTGGACCGTTCTGCATTTCTGGCACCAGCAGGCAGACACCTAACACCCCCGGAGCCACCTGACAGGGTGTTGTCAGACACTTGGGTTTTGCGAATTCGATGGGTACGATGCAGTGTCCCTGCGTAGCCGAGGTCTGAGTCGTTCCTGTTGTGAGCGAGGTGGACGTCTCCTTTTCCACGTGCTCTGTCACTTTCCTGTCCATGTTCCTGAAGAGCCTGGGCCTTTCTCACCTATTTTTAGAAACTATGTAGAGTAAGCAATAACCTTTGCCTCCAGTGTAAGTTGCAACTATTTTTCCCATTGGTCTTTTTGTACTTTACTTATTTATGATTTATTTACTTGTTTTCTGCCATGCAAACCTTTTTTCAAAAGTTATTATTTCCATGTAGTCATATTTATCCTTTTCTCTTCTAATCTCATGTTGCTTCTGGCTTTGGCGTCATGACAAGGAAGGCTTGCCCCGTCCAGGTTGTTGAGAAGTCACGTTTTCTTCTCATATTCACGATTTTTCGTGTACATTTTGGCTCCCTTTGGGAGTACCAGCAGGGCACCCTGGTTGACCACATTCCTGTTGCTAGGCTACCTTCGAGTGAGTTCCCACCACCGGAATGGGCCCGCTGCCCCACTCCGGCTTGCCTTTATGTGCACGCTCCTTGCATCTCCGTGTCTGAAGGGACCAAATGTGTTCATTCTCAGGAAGAAGGAACTGACATCGGGGGAAGAGACTTGCCCACGAGCCCCCCACCCTGTTCTGGCTTGCCTGGGAGGCTCATGGCCACCTGCTGTGTGTGGGTGCTTGCTGGTGTGAGCCTCCGCGAGCCTCTGCTTTCCCCCCAGTGGGAGGTCCTATGTCGCCCTGCTTTGCAGGCGTGTAGACTGAAGAACAGAGAGGCGTGCTGCTCGTCCAGAGCCATGCAGCCACCGCGAGGCCATCAGGCCCTGGTCCCGAGACCTCACCCAGGGCCAGGAGAGGCTGCGGCCAGCCTCGGACATGGCCAGACTACCTGCCCTACCCTGGACCAGCTTCCTTTGTCTCCATGTCCCGGGGCCAAGGCAGGGCCACAGTGTGCTGGGAAGCAGATGCCCAGGGCTGCTGCATTTGAACGTGACTTCCTTGGCCCTTGTTATCCATTTCTTCCCTGCGTTCATCTGTACACCTGCTGATGATGGTGCGCAGGCCCAGCGCTGGCTGGGGGCCACCCAGGAGGTGTGTGGTGGAGTCGTCCTGTGTGCAGGCAAGTGCCCACAGGGCCGCTTGGGGAGCAAGGTCCCATGGGAGCCCGGGGCAGCGTCTCCTCTTCCTTTCCCTTGGGTCTGGATGCAGGGCTGGGTGTGGCGGGGGAGCCGAGTACACGCCCTAGTCCTTCCTTTTTCTGATGATCCACAGTTCTTAGGGCCCATCAAGGCCTGTCACAGTTATGACTCAGAAACCAGGCCCCGGGAGGGAGGGGACCTTCCCAGTACATGCGAATCTGCAGCTGGGCCAGGAGCGGGGTGTAGCCTGCACATCCACCCCATGCGTGTTGGAAGTGGGGGCGACCCAAGGAAGGTGACAGTACACCTTTGGATGAGCCAGCAGCCGCCCGGGGTAACCAGGCTTGTAGATGGGCTGAGCGGGAGCCGATTTTGGGAGCGTCAGGTGGTTTTCTTCACCCCTAAATGTGTCATAAGTGGTCTTCCACTTTCTGCAAGGACAGGTTCCCACCTACCCCTCGGGGCCTGCACACGTTGGAGGTTCCCTTTTGGACTGGGCTAGTTCGGCCTGGTGGCTGTCCTCTGGGACGGGATGCCCAGCGTCTGTGTCACTGAGGTGGCCACCAGTGCTCACGTGTATGCTCCCTGCACCTTCATCCCCTGGACTCTCTGCTCCCCACTTGAGCCATGGGTGGAGAAGGGGAGGCAGTATTGGAGCCCACTGTGATCCTGGTAACTGGGATTATAGTCTGTGTGATCCCCTTCCAGGCCCCAGGCCTTGCGCAGAGCCCTGCCCCTCTGCTCCTGGCTTCCCCCTGCTCCACTCTGAGATTTGGGCCGTGGCTGGCCGGGCTGCCCTGGGAGGACGGAGCAGGCCGACTTGGTGCTGGCAGGCAGGGCAGCCCTGCTCCTGGGAGCCATGCGTGTGGCCCGCGCAGCCTCCCCCATGCCCGCCCGCCTGGGCACCCAGGCCCACAGTGTGACCAGCGCCACTCTTGCAGGTGGTGAGAGGCTACAAGGCGACCGTCCAGCAGACCCTGGACATCCTCTTCCTCCAGGAGGGCTCCGAGTTCCTGAGTAGCACAGATGCTTCCACGCGGGACTCTGCCGACCGTACCATTATCGCCTGGGACTTCCGGACCTCCGCCAAGATCTCCAACCAGATCTTCCATGTGAGAAACCCTGGCAGGCGTTGCTCTCATTTCTGCTGCAGGCTGCATCCCCGGGACCTCGGTCTGTGGGTCCTGGGGCCCTTCCTGGAAGGGCTTCAGTGCCCTGGAGTCTCAAGATGGGGGTAGGCAAGGGTCCAGTCCAGGCCCTGTGTGCACGGAGAGTCCTCACACAGGAGGGCGAGAGTGTGGGGGGGCAGCCCAGACCAGGTCACAGGAGAGGCACAGGCTGAGGCCCGGCTTCCCCCGACCTCCCACCCGCGCCCTCCCTCCGCAGTGGCTCCTCCAGGTGATGTGATGGGAGCCCTGAGGGCGGGGGCCTAGCCCTCAGCCTCTTTGACTCTCCCTCACTAGAAGGTAAGGGTAGTGAAACCCCCACCTCCTAGAGAGTTCTGAGGCTGGGGAGAGAGGGAAGCTCATGAGGGGTGGAGCTCGGGGCCAGGCTCAAGCAGGCCCTGGTGCTAACACAGTCCCCGGCCTCCATCGCCACCTGAGCTGTGCCCAGTCTCTCTCATGCTCCCTCCCTGGATGAAGAATGCAGAGCCCAGGCCAGCAGTGCCTCCAGTGGAGGTAAGGCGCTGGACCCACATGGCAGACTCGCAGTTCGAGTCCTGGAACCAGCAGTTTGAAAATCACGCAGAGCACGTGCATGTGTGCCTGAGACTCCGAGAGGAGAACAGAGAAGGCAGCGTGGCTGTCCCCGGGGGATTTCCCGCTGTCTCTCCGTCTCTCTGGTGAGCGCACACGCCCTATAGCAGAGAGTGCAGCACCTGTGTCTCCACCTCGTCCTAGGGGCCCTGAGCACTGGCCTTCAGACGCTCCCTGTAGGGCTTTCTGCCACAGCCCACAGGGTGCCCAGGGGTCTGCTCAAGAGGTTACCCCTGCATCTAGCCCTGCCCCGATGTGACATCGCAGAGCCCTGTCCTGCCCCACCCCACTGGAGCAGGGGTCTTTCCTGACCCCTGAGAGTGACCTGCCTCCAGAAGCCCCAGCAGAGGGCCGGGTGGTGAGGCCAATGGGCACCTTGTGCTGGCACTGAGGACCCCTTCCTGTGTGGGCGAGGGGTGCCCTGCCCTGCAGCATCCTGCCGGAGCTCAGAGTGCAGCCGCTCGGGCGCCCAGCGCAGGGAGTTCTCTGGGTGCCTCCTGTGCCCACATGCCCATCGACGAGAACCCTCAGACTCTCCTTGTGTGCTGGGCACGGTGTGAGTTTGCTCCGGGGGAGTCGGGCTGGGCTAGGGCTTTGCCTGGGCCGCCGTGGGAGCGGGAAGCTGAGCACAGGCATCAGCCCCACAGTCAGCGACTGCTCGCTTGGTGGGTACACAGCCCGGCGATGCCTTGTCTCCGGCTGTCTTGGCCTGACCATCTCTGGTGTCGAGCCTTCCTCGGCTCTCCCCCCAGGGGTGCTCTAGTGTGCGTAGGATGACGCGTGAGGCCTTCACAGTGGTCGGGGTATGCGTAGTATGGAAAGCCGTGTGTGGGCTTCTGGTTTTATTTTGTTATTTCTTCCGGAGAGAAGGGGAGCAGCACCCCAACAGGGCCCTGATGTTGCAACCACTCCCAGCATCAGTCAGCCCCAGCTGGTGGGCACACACGTGCCTGGTGCTCTAGAGGGGGCTCCAGACTTGAACCTTGAGCTTCCACGCAGAATGGCTACACAGGGCTCCACGCTTTTCTGCTCTACAGCCCTCCAGCCCCTGGAATGCAACATTTTTGCACCAGAATGAACTTGTAATTTTAGAAATAAAAAAAATGATTAGTATTATTTTAAGTTTTGCTATAGGTCATGTGCACGTACCAGAGAGAGGCACAGAGAAAGAGAGGGAGGTGAGAAAGTAAGCCTCCAGGTCCAGACCCGAACCGCGCTCAGCCACGTGGGAGTCCAGCGCCCCAACCACCATGCCACCTGTTAGCCCCTGGACTTGAGCTTTAATTCCACTTTCTCACAAACTTTTTGAAGAACCCTTGTGTGGGGTACTCTCGTACCAAGATCCTTAATATACCTTAAGGACCCGTCCTGGCTGTGTCAGGTAGTGTGTGCGGCATGCGGGGGGCCATTTTCCAGCCTACCGCAGGGAAGAGCTGGGACAGGCAGAGTGGGGCCCTCCTCAGCCCCAGGACACTTTGACATACCCAGTGAGCTGCGTCAGCTCCGACCCCCTGCACGCGTGTGGAAGTCTGTGTTGTTTGAAGGCACCGTGTCTGTGGCAGTCTGTTACAGCAGCGACAGAACACTCACACCAGCCGTGAGCGGGCGTGTGTCTGTGGGAGGCAGGGGGCCCGGGGGGCCTGCTCTGACCCCTCTGTGGCCTTGCTGCCCCTCAGGAGAGGTACACCTGCCCCAGCCTCGCCTTGCACCCAAAGGAGCCCGTGTTCCTGGCGCAGACCAACGGCAACTACCTGGCACTCTTCTCGGCCGTGTGGCCCTACCGGATGAGCAGGAGGCGGCGTTACGAAGGGCACAAGGTACCCGGCTCCGGCCCAGGCCGGGCGCTGAGCGTGGCCCTAGGGCATCCTGCCAGACGCTGGGCCCGGGAGTCCCAACCCCCATCTGGGTGGCTTCTGCTTTCTGTTGGCCGTGCGGTCTGGGTCTGCTCGTGGCCAGGCCAGCCGGTCCCAGCCCAGGCCCTGCTCCCAGGCAGGACTGCTGTGCCCGGTTAGTCAGGTCACACAGACAGGTCGCAGGGGTGGGGCCATTTCTGCATCTGCCCCTTTGCCCACTGGGCTGGCCTTGCGGGGATGCAAGGGGACTCGGTGATGGTCAGAGAGGCCAGACCCCACCACCGTGCTGGAGCTGAGCCCCCGGGATTCCACCCAATTGGCCTCATGAAGCAGGCCTGAGCCAGGACCCCATGGCCTCCTCAGTGCGGCTTTGGGCTCTGGGACTCTGGGCCTCCGCCTGCCCCCTGGAGAATGGACACCCCCCTCCTCACAGGTAGTCTCTGGGAGCAGGCATGCGCTCACCCTCTGTGTCTCCCCCTGCAGGTGGAAGGCTACTCTGTGGGCTGCGAGTGTTCCCCAGGTGGTGACCTGCTGGTGACGGGCAGCGCCGACGGCCGAGTCCTGATGTACAGCTTCCGCACCGCCAGCCGGGCGTGCACGCTGCAGGGGCACACGCAGGCCTGTGTGGGCACCACCTTCCACCCCGTGCTGCCCTCCGTCCTTGCCACCTGCTCCTGGGGAGGGGACGTCAAGATCTGGCACTAGTCTCCTGTCGCTGGGCTTACCCCGTGCTGGCGGTGGCGGAGTCAGACCCGTGACCCTCGGTTTTCTCGTTTGTGCAGTGGGGACGCGGGCTGTGTCTCTCAGGGCTGTGAGACTGTGAAAACACTGGCCAGTGGTGTCAATAAACGCGAGTGCTTTGCTGTTTCTTGACTGTTTCAGCAATAGGCGTGTGTGAGCGGCACACTGTGCCTCCCTTCTCCGGCAGAGCTCGGAGCCACAGAACCGCAGGGGCCCGAGATGGGGGCTGCCCTGCCTGCTGGTCCTGGTGAGGGAGTTGCGGGGGCTCTGGGTCTCAGTCTACCCTCAGGAGCCCCACAGAGCATGGCAGGCCTGGCCAGCCTCACAGGGCCGGCCCCTCACGCCCTCCTCACATGCTGGCAGCTGGCTCCTGGGTCCACCAAGGCCCCGGGCCCTCTGGGGCGCGGTCGCCCACTGCTGGCCAGGCATATGTGCTGCCCGTGCACAGACATCTGCCCCATAGGGCGAGGTGGAGGAGCAGCCTCGTGGGGCCTCAGGGAGCCAGGCTAGAGGGGGCCCAGTGCCTGTCCCTGAGGTCCATGAGCCTGACCCTCACCAGAACCAAACTGAGCAGCTCCAAAGCCCTAGAACCTGCTGACAGGCCAGGGTGGGGCCCACTGGGGTCTTGGGAGGCTCCCTGGAGGAGACAGATCTCGGGCTGGAGAGGAGGGTGTCCAGGCATGGGAAGTGGGCGTGACCTTAAGCTGCTCAGCTGCTGGGAGCCTTGGTTTCTCCTTTTGCAAAGGGAGAACGAGTAAGCCACAGCCATGTGTGGGCATGTGGGCACGGGGCCTGGCCGTGCAGCTCCTGAAGGGCCTGTGTGCAGCAGGTGCACAAGGCTGGCTGGGGGCTTCACTGACCACTGGCTGGGCCCTGGGGGCAGGAAATGAGCCAGCGTAGTTCAGGAAGGTTTGACTGTGTTCGAGGACCACGCTGCGTGGGCCGAGGATTGGCAGCCCCCCTGGGAGCCATGTGGCTTCCACTGCAGAGTACCGGAGAGCCATGAGCTCCCACAGGATCCGGGAGCCCGGCAAAGACCTTCACCAGGGCCCTGAGCAGGTCCCCAGCACCTGGTTGTCGAATGAATGACGGATGTGTGGATGCATGAATGAACCTGACACAGGGCAGGGAGGGAGGCTGTGCGTTCTCAGTGCACCTCTCAGCTGGCGCTCCCATCTCCCTGTCCCACTGCCAGCCCAGACCCTAGAGTCCAGATGCCCTGGGGTTTCCACCTTCCTCATGGGTCTACAGTGGCCTCCTCCCTGTGAGGAAGAAATGCTGGCGTCACCTCAAACCAAATGTGAGCCTTGCTGATGGACTGTGCTCAGCCAGGCTGGGACACCCTGCCCAGTCACCTGGTGGCCCGACCCCTCCCGTGTGGGCACACACCTGCCCAGTCACCTGGTGGCCCAACTTCTCCCGTGTGGGCACACACCTGCTGCCGGCAGTCCTGTGGGATTTGGAGCCCGGGGACCTGTGCGGATGCCAGGCCCATCCCTGGTCACTTGGGGCCTTCGCAGTGCTTTGCATCTCTGAGCCTCAGTTTCCTTATCTGTAACGGCCTGATGGCACAAGCGGGGAAGGCAGGGAAAGGGCTGAGCCGGCCCTTAGCCTCTCAGCTTCGCTTGAGACACCAGCCAAGAGTCCGTTTCTGTTCTGTTTTGGTGGCCTGGGACCACCGTGAAGCTCTGACCCTCCGAGGCAGAAGGACATTAGGGCTCCCCAGCCCGACCCCGCTGCTCAGCTTCTCAGCCCAGGCCTCCGAGGCCAGACTCCAGGCGGGAGGGGGAGGGTGGCAGGCGCCCCTGATTTATGTTTCTTCCTCCAAATGCTCTCTTCGGGGAGCATTCTTAAAGACTTTGATCCTCCGCAAGGTGTCAGGGAGTTCACCATTTGCAATTTTAAAATTAGAAAGCTAAATTTAGAAGTTGTGGAGC